GGGTGAAAAGCCATGCTTTGGCTGCCCAGCTGACACTGGATCGGTACAAGCGCTGGGATGTAGACACTGCTGTCCAGACATTGTCCATGTGCCTGCAACGCATTGAGCAAGAGCCCACAGATGGCACTGAAGCTAGCCGCACAGCTGCCTTGAAGCAAGAACTCCGGCGGATTCTGCAGAGAATGGTGTCATTTGAGAAGATTTTGCAAGCAGCGGAAGGGCGGTGGCAAGTCTGGCAAGAGATTGAAGATATGAGCAAAGTGCAGGTGGGAGATGCGGGTTCTTGTGAAACATGTGCTGACATGGGAATAGAGACATGTGATCCCCAAGCCACCAACAGAGCCCTTGTTATGGTAAGACTTGTAGAAGTGGCATGAATTGGCGGTATCGCTGCAGGTTGGTGAAGCCGTGGAGCACTTGCTTTCACTTCAACAGCACGACATGGCAAGAACCTTGGCCCAGATGTATGGCATGACTGATCCGTTGCACTCTCTGGAACTGTCACGTTTGCATTACCTGTTCACAACCAAAAATGACAAGACCAACGCGGTGAATCGACTGCTTTCCCTGCCGCCTTCGCAAGCCGTGTCTTTCGCACTGCAGCTGTTGGACATGTTTGACATGATTCAGCACCGGGCTCTCTTGTGCCAGATGCTTCTGACGCAGAAGGTCCTTACGTCATGGCTCTCAGGTCCTGAGGAAGAACGACTTCGAGTACTTCTGGCATCGCTACAGCTTCTACAGGAGGTTAGCGAAATCATGCGGCCGCATTTCCTGAAGCTCTTGAGGAAGCCTGAGTTGATTGTTGAGAGTTTGCTGATGAATGCTCGAGTTGATTTGCTGAAGAAGTTCTTGGAAGACTTCCCGGAGTATCGTCATGACGAGCTAATTCTCCGCTATGTGCGGAAGGCCTTGGCCCTACCACCAGCTCTCAATGATGTCAGCGATGTAGACGATGATGGCACTAGGTCTCTTCCAGAGGCCCGACCTTCACAGGAAAGTGAAGGGCTGGGCGGACCTTGGTGTTTATCTGGAACTTCTGGCAATGACCAGACCATTCGTAGCCGGCATCGCTTTGAAGATGCTCCCAGCAGCCGCTTGGCCGAGCGGATTTTGGAGCTTTGTTCCGATGGCCCGGAGAGTCTTGGAGCAAAGATTCGCGGCGTTCTTTTTTTTGAATAACTTTGCTACTAGGAGCAAAGGGCATCGCTGCTAGGGGCTCCTGGCCGTACTGCTAGGAGCAAGAAGCGACTAGTAACAAGAAGCTACTTGGAACACTTGCGACCATGGACCATGGATGTTTGGATTAGATCAAAACCAATTGCCGCTATGTGTCCATTGCATTCGTGGCGACCACAGAGTGTACAGGCCTCCGGCCTCCCTGCTTGAGCGAGCCTTTCTGTTTTTTCCATTCCATCTTGCGCTCATCTCGTCTGGAGCCTACAGACAGATACAGACAGCATCATGTCTTTCCTAATCCTGCTTGGTTTGGCCAAACTTGCTTGGTGTTCACCAGCTAAACTCTCCGCTGGCCTTGCCTAACCAATCTCTTCCTACGTCATCGTGCTGACTCTTTCATGCTGCTGTGCTGACATGTGCTGCACTATGCTGCACTCATATTTCTCATCGTTTGTCGTTTACCTTTCCCGGTATCACATGCTCTTTGAACCTCTTCTTCATCTCCGGATGACCCAACACCCTATTCCACCTCGAATCGCTTTTTTTGATCTATTTTGCATTTTTTTTGCATTTGTTTTTCTCGGGACTGAAGCTGACCGCCTAGCTGCCTAGATTGTCTCACATTTTGCACTGAAGGAATGCGGCTGCATGTTTTGACATCTGCGACGAGCTGTCGCTTCGCCTCTACGACCTGACGCCGAAATACGGAGAAAATTGGCCAGACACGTCTCAAAGTCCCGCAGCACCTTCAGCCCGTTTGCTGACGTTTCTCATTCGACGATTGCTGAAATATCTTCAGGTACGATCAATTGGGTAGCACTAATGTGCACTGCACCAATAGTGCAGTTATTTGTACCAGTCGGTTGCAGATTGTTCAGAGTTTAGACCCCAATTGGAGAAAGGCAAGAAGAATGCTGTTTGAAATGCCTGGAGGTGAAGTTTTCGGGAGCTGGTCATGAAGTTCAGCTGAAGCTAGAACAGAGTCTCAACAACTTGGACTTCATTCCTCGCCTTTGGAATGTGAGTGGCAAGAAGGTGGGCTTGGCCCAATTGTGCGATGCCAAAGAGGCCGCTGAGCTTCGGGATGCCTTGGTGAAAGAAGATCATTTGTCGTTGGCCCTTGAATTGTGCCGGCGCTGCGGTGGAGAAGACAAGACCAATGAGCAGACCGCTTCGTGGCACATTTCGGCCGACCCAGTGAGAGAAGCACAGGTGGTGGCGCTTCAAAGGCTGTCCATGTTTGAGGAAGCTCGAAATGAATTTAGCAGGTCGGGAGCAAGCATGCAAGCGGCCGAGAATGCATTGACGGCCTTCGAAGATGCAATGCGCTACCCACCTTTGTATGATTTGGCTGCCTTAGAACAGCAGCGGAGCATATACACTTTCAACAGGTTGCAGCGGAAGCTCTACCGCTCTACGGCAACCATGGCGAGCCTTCCAATCTTTTTGCAGCAAACGGGGGGTCGAGAGTCTGACCAGGCGGTCCCCATTGTCCCAATCAGCAAGTCTCCAGAATCAGTCTTCCAAATTTCTGGAAAGAAGGCGAACGGAAAGCCGGAAACAACGGAAAATGCCGGAGGCAGCGGAGGCAGTGTTACACTCGCGGCCTCAATGCAGGTGGCACTCGAGGATCGCTTGCGTGATGCCCTTCATCAGCGCCGCAGGAGGTGCAAAAATGACACCGTGACGATGAAGGATGACTTTCAGGCACATGTTTTTCCTTTTTTTCCAATATGAATCAATCAATAATCAATATGTTCCTTCTAGAATGCTCTACTGTAGATTTTGGCCAACAAAGGGGTTGGGGAAGGGGAAGTTTGTTGGCATCCATCCCGTCTGTCCAACCTTGGTTGCAGGAGACTCCCTTGGTAAACTCCGTGACCTTCCTAACTCCACCGATTCATCCATCTGAGATGTCCCGATGGTCGACGCTGACAGATATGGTCACCCTGCGGGCAAAGAGCAAGGCCCACCCCACCGATGCCAACGTTCCCGAGGTGAAAGCTGCAGAAGAGCCCAAGGTAGTAAATCAATCAATTCCTGAAGAGAAGAGAGATGGCAAGGAGCGACCTGCTGAAGAGTCCCAGGCCATTGAGGGTGACCAGGTGGGCGATCCAGTCTTTGAAGAGGAGGATGAGGCCAATTCAGTGCCAGAGGTAAGCTATGACAAGCTTACCATGGACATGGCCAGCGTTTGCTGCGGATGTTCTGCCTTGCACAACCTACGCAGTCCCAGCAACTTTTGGCCAGAGGATCGGCAAACTCATAGCTTCATGCCAGCAAGCCCCATGGCACTGCCTTTGGCTGCCCCACTCTCAATGACCTTCTCGGGCCCACGTGCACTAAGCGCAGGCTCCTTTCATGAGCTGATGCAATTTCAGGACAAATATGGTTCCGCCGAGTCACTCATCAGCCTGCTGGTGCGAGAGAGGAGGCTGGCTCAGGCTTGTCAATATATCTTCAGTGAGAAGGTCGACAAGCGTTTGTTCGTAGACGTGGTCGCACACCACTGCTTGGCACACAACCAATTCCATGAGCTGCAGAAAGTTATTTTGGATTTTGATCCATCCTTACGCCGGGTGCACGAATACCTCAATTCTGTCAAGGATTTCCTGCGTGACAGACGTGCATTCGACTTGCTCTACTCCTATGAGGTCTTTACCAAAAACCATGTCAGTGCTGGCTTCCTTGCCATACAGCTTTTTGTTCAATCCGGCACCTGGGATGCTCGTGTTGGGCACCTTCAGAATGCGGAGGCGCACTTGGGTCTTGCTCATCGCAAAGTGAGGAGAAAAGAAGGCAAAGATGGTACTGACAGTCTTCCTGATTCCACTGTGCCGCCGGATGCCGCAGAATCTGACCTTGAAGGCGCCGACATCAAGCGTAACCTGGAGACTGTACGGATCCAACGTGCAGTTTGTGAAGCCATGCCCGCAGAAATGCCTCAGAATGCTGTTTTGTTTGGTGACTTGCCAGCACAGTGTGAGGTGGCAGAGTTGTTGATGGTGAACGGCCATTTCAAGTTGGCACAAAAAGTCATCGAGTTCTTGGACTTACCTGCAGTGGAGCTGTGCATCAGAGCCTCCAACCAGATTGCTACTCAGCAAGCACGCCATTCGACCGGCTCTATAGCTCCCGTGGTGAGGTTCCTGCAAGCCATTCCAAAGCTACCACCAGTGGAGTGGGACAGCCTGGTGTCCAATGTGATCAACATTTGGATCATTGAGAAAGAGGAACTGAATGCAGATCGTTCTGCAGCCTCACAATTGGTGCCCTTCATTCAGGATGAGCGCTGCAAGATGGATGCCATGATCCTGATTGGAAACCTGCAGGGTGCCTTTCAAATTGCGCAGCGGCTAGGCAGCATGCAGGACGTGCTTCACATCAACTCGCGAGCTCAAGCGACAGGAGATCAGGAGCTTTTGAAGTCCATTGCAACCTTCATGTCGTACAACTCAGTGAGCAAGAAGAAGTAGAAGCAGCCGACAAATGCGAAAACGTCGACAATCAATCGTCGCTTAGAGCAGAAGTAATAGTAAGCGACGCCAGGCGCACCGGGTTGTGTGCATTCGCTGCCCAAAGCAGAGCAGCTGTGTGCATTTGGCAAGGCATGACGAAACAATTGAAGGCCCTAACATGGCCGGCGCATTCAAAATGGCTGGCAGCTTTGCAGTGAAACAGTTGATAATAAGTGATAACAACTAAAGTGTAGCTGAAACTCTACAGACCGGCTTTATGTCGTTTCCATTCACTTGCATAGCATGTCACACAAGGGGGCAGATTGTTAGTGTGTGGGATGGCGTGGGGGGGCGCAGATGCAGGTACGCTCTACATCCTTTTGCACCAGCGCTTGGCTATGGTAAATTGCAGGTTGTGTGGGGCGTTCCCTGCACCAATGAGCAAACTGAGCAAACAATTTGCTCCACTTAAACAATCCAGTGCCTCCTCATGCGGAGCCTCGACTCCAAGCGAGACACTGCGAGATGTCAGGGACCTTTGCGTTCGTTGGCGCTCCAGCTTTTGCCAGGCCCGAGCGCACCACCACAATGGACACAGACGAGGCGATGTTGGTGACCAAAAGGTCTGAATGGGCCGAATGGATTTAATAGAGCAACTAGTAGCAAGGGCATCGCTACTAGGAGCAAGGGCCTTACTACTAGGAACAAGAAGCTAGTAGAAACAATATATTGGAATGGCCATTTCAGGAAATTCAATAAGGTTTAAATTCCCCGAACATGGGCTTCTTTGAACCATCACATCCATCACTTGCCCTGCATTACTTGTGCTGCATATGTCAATATGTGGCTATCCACTGCATGCGGAAACAAACCAATCCGACAAGCTGAACCTCGATCAAGTAAGCACGTTTCAAACCACAAAGCGAGCATGGAGTAACCACTATGTCACTATGTCACGTTTCAGTTCACCAAGAGCAAGTTGGATTGTGTTGCGCAAAAAAGTGCTTAAGACAAGTTTAGGCTCAAGTTGGGCCCAAGTGGACGAGTCCAGAGCACCTCGCCAGGATCATTTGGGATGGAAATTCAGGTGGCTCCGGGACAGAGCTTGTCCAAGGAACAGAGGGCTGAGATCGCCAAGGGCTTCGAATTCCTTGGTTTGATGGCAGAAGGTGGACGTGCTCGAAGGCGCAAGGGTTTGCCATTGATTGTCCCAAAGGCCGAGGTGCCAAAGCTCTTGCGTGGTTGTGGCAGAACGCCAACATCTGCGGATGTCAAGGAGCTTTTGAGCAAAGTCCCAGATGATGGCATCCAGTTGGAAGCCTTTCTCTCCCTCTATGAGGAAGCTGCGTTGAAGCCGATCCTCAGTGAATACCAGCTATTTGATGCGTTGAAGACCTTGGACCTCACGAAGACAGACTCTCTTGATCCACAGGGGCTGAAGGATATCTTGCACTCCTTTGGTGATCGGCTGACACATGGAGAAGTTGACAAGATACTCAGCGGCTTGCCGCGAGACGGCTTGGGGAGAGTGAAATGCCGCGACATCGCCAGGAAGCTGGTGAAGGGACCGTCAGACATTCCGCATTTGTAAACACCTGGGAGCCTCTATTGTTTGAGCCTGGCATCAAGCCGTCAGCATAAGGACAAGTGCAGCCAGTGCAGCTGTGTAGTTCGACGTTTTGAACGTGGCAATCCTAGTTTTAGTCGGTCCTTTGAGCAAATCTGAGCACCTTTGAGTAGATGCCAGGGCTTAGCTTCCTGTGAAAATGTGCAACGCTTTAAGCTCACAAATGTGACGGCTTGCAGATCTTGCACTTGTTTCACCGAATCCGGGTAAGCTGCCAATATGGCAAGCACTTCAGACTCGGCTTCTAGATAGGAAGGCTCCCAAAATCACAGTGCAGGCGTCCATATCCTTTGTGAGCAAGAGCTTTTAGAGAATCCTGAATCCCGTCAAGCACATGGCAAGGCAGCAATGCACTGACACAGGGACTGTGACTCTGTACTGCGCTAGGCCCCATAGAAGACAGGCACGGAAATACGCGATGGCGAGGGTTGAGCCAGTTTAACATGTCTAACATTATTTCACATGACTTGACTGCAGTTGCGTTTCAGCCGTTCCAGCTACATACTGTAGATGCTGAACATTCTCACAGAACCTGCCCAGCTGGGTCCAGCTGGGTTTCAAAGAGACTGGCTACGGCTGAGGGGATGCAGCACTTCGCCACCGAGGCGAAACAAGAAAAAGTCACTGGCCAAGTCAACATGTGGCAGCTGCGAAGAAGTTGTTCTTGTTCAATGTAGAAACTTATAGCAGTGTCCGATTGTGGCCCTTGCGATCTTGCTAAGGCGCCGGAAGAATCGCAGACCGTCCATCTGGCACAAATGGACAAGCCTGCTTGCATGAAGTAAACAAAACTGATGAATTGTATGAATGCTGCGTTGGTGCTGTTGCCTTCCCAGATATTCGCAAATGCATGCCAGGAAAAGTGCTGGCCTTGGCCCGGAGATGCTTCAAAAACAGTTTTTCAAGTCCTATTTCAACTTACAATTTAGCTGCATGCTCTTGTGTAAAAGAGCCACTGAGTTTCAGTCACGGCTCAAGCCCCGGATACCCCCTATTGAATCCTGGTGGTTGCAGCCTGGCTCTTGTGAGGCCCTGGAGAGCCGCCTCCTAAATGGGGTGAGACATGGGAGGAGCAGAAGATACTTAAGCTGCGTAAGATTTTGCGCTAAAGACTCGTAAGATTGAGATCTGAAGGTTCCCTTTACTTTAGAGACCTGTGAGAGTCTGAACACCTGTGGATAAACAGTTCTGTGACTGAACAGTTCAGTTCTGCGTGAGGAACCTCGCGCGTCCAATGGTTTGAAGCTCATCCACGAGTTGGCTCCAAAGGCTGAAAGATAATTGAACACATTGACACATTGTTTATTTTTCCTTCCAGGGGGGGGTAGGCCGCTAGGAGGTAAGTAGCTAGGGGTAGCTAGTAGAAGAGTTAGCTACTACCTTGGACGCAGGATAGCTCACGCTTCTTCAAGGAAGCTTTCTTGAAGAAGCTCTCGGACTAATGATTTGGTTCCTAGATTTTTAGGGAAACTTAGCAGTAGAACTTGTCACGAAAGCTAGCTGTAGCTAGCTGGAGTCTGTCTTGCTTTAGCAAGGAGGGTGGGAACCCAGGACCTGAGTGCTAACACTTGATATACCCCCCCTCCCCTCCCCTGCCCTCCCCTCCGCTCCCCTCCCCTCCCCTCCGCTCCCCTTCCCCTGCGCGGGTTCAACTCCACCCTTCACCCCTGACCGCTTCTCAGTTCCCAACGTGCTGTTGCTGTTCTTTGTCGCTGCTGCTGCTGCTCCTGTTTCTATG